TGGGGCAGCGACGGGTTTTTATTTTTTAATTCGGTTTAGGGGTTGTTGTTGTAGTTTTAATCTTTTAAATATTAGTTTTCTTAAATATTAGTTTTCTTAGCAGCCCCTGCATGGGTTCTCCCTGCGCCCGAAGTCCTCTGAGGGGAGGCGAGGGGGGTGCAGCCGCCTCGGGTTGAGCGTGGGGTGCTGCCCCTGGAGGAAGAGGTGCCTGGAGGAAGATAAAGAGAGGGGGGTGGAAAAAAAAGGAAGAAAACCGGGCGAGAAGGAGGAGACAGGGAGCGCTCTGTGCTCCCTCAAGGCAGAGGTGGCTGTGAGGGGAGTGCCCGGTTTATGGCAAGAGAGGGGTGACAAGCAGGGCCTGAGAGCCACAGGAGTGGGGCCTGCTCGTCAGGACCTGTGGCTAGGTGCTAGCCATGAAGTGCTGTAGGCACTTCTGCTAGGGGTGCTTAAACTTGCTCTTCCTCAGTGGCTCAGCTGCCTTGTGTGTCCCGGACCAGCCTTCCTGGTTGTGGGACTTGTGTTAATTAGCCTGTCAGCTGTCACTTCAGCTGTGACTTCTCTTTCCTGTGGTTGTTGCACTGGTAGCTGATTTGGTGTTCTTTTCTCTGTAGTAGTGCCTTGTTACGTTGAAGCTTTGAGCGCTAAGGAGGCTTACATCCTGGCTTTGAGGGACCATGGAGTGTTTCCTGAAATTAGGATGCTCAACTTCTCAGAGGAAATGCAAATTAAGTGCTAAAGCAGGGGCTTTGTGAAGTAGTTACTCTGTATGTAGATAGTGCTTGGAATTATTTTTCATACTGGGTGGTCTACCTGGTTTAATAACTATACCCAACACACCCCAAAGAGAAGGTAGGACAGCCATGTAACAGTCTGTGAGCTCTCTAGTTAACTTTCCTATTGTTATACCTCAATGTAGTTTTGCCTTGTGACTAAACCAAGCTTGCAGGAAGATGACTGTTAAGTGTGCTTAAGGCATATCTTCTTTTCTTTCTATCTTATTTTCTGCTGTCTTTTGGAAGATGTCTAATAGCTGACTAGAGGGCTAGAAATACAGCTCCTTTGAATGTTTTTTTTAAAGATAACTTCCTTTCATCTGTTTCTCTTGCATAGGAATCTTTTTAAAATAGTCTTAGCCCAGTAGAATTGGCAAAAGTTTATTGGACAGATGTTTTCTGGTTATTTGCTTTGAGTTGTGAACTAGCTGGTGCTTTAACCTTTTTCTTCTGTGTGTGAAACTGTTGGTATTAAAGTATCTGCCATTCAGATACTGAGTGAAAGCCTTTATAGGCTTGTAGGGCCTGTAGGTGATGGGTGGAGGGGAAGGTAAAATATCAGCTGTCTTGCAGCAATTGGTAACTTTGAATGTTTTTGCACCCTTTCCAATTTAGCAGACAGGAATATTGGGAGGAGGGGAACATGTTCCCATAGTGAGGGCTGGAGTAGCTTTAAACTCTAATGCTCAGTGGCCAAAGATTAACTAGCTTGTTTCAGGTATTAGGTCTGACTTTGGATTCCAGCAATGGGGAGGAGGATAGAAATACTCCTATCTTGTCTGTTCCTGTTTAGGTAAGGAAACAGCAACATGGAACTGGTGTGTGGCCAGGAGATAAAGCCTATGCCTATAAAGGAAGCTGCATTAGTTATTAACCTTGAATAGGAATCACTGGTAAGCATAAACTAAAAACTGACCCTGAGGCAGCGAAGCAGGAGAGGGTCAGGATATGTAGGAAGAGGAAGGGAGGGTAGGATAAGGGCGATTGGAAGTGCAGTGGGAAAGATGGTGTAATCTGTCATGGGGAGGAAAAGGCACTTCAGAAAGTGAAGCAAGTAGTGGGACTGCCAAGCTGAGCTTGTACAAATACCCTGGTGTTTCTTAATGTCAGTGGCTTGATAGTATTTTAAAGGCTCCAGTCTGCAGTTAAGCTGTTCAGGATAAAAATACCAAGAGTGAGTATTGTAGCCCTTCTTTCTCAGAACAGTCAGTGGAAGACAAAATGTTATGTCATGGCCTGGGACTTGCTGTTACCACTCCTGAACAGTGGTTTTTGGTGCTGGACAACTTCTGCTACATGCTCTGGAAAGAATGAGGGCCTATTAGATCTTGCTTATGCCTTGCCAGCAAGCTGCTCCTGCATGCTGCTGGGTCCAAAAGCAAGCAGGGAGATGACCTGCTAGCAAGGTGAAAGCTGCTGGATAAGGATAATGTACTCTCAAGGACATATAGCCTCCTTGAGGCTGGCCCACTTCGGGCTAATGACACTATTTCAAATCCATGGGAGGTGAAGAGAGTGTGGTGAAGCTGTATTGCTGAGGCTTCCCCACCACCAGCTCTGGCCTCACTGCAGGAGGTCAGCAAAACATTCTTCTAGATGCTGACTGTGGCTTAGGGGTTGTGCTTGTGTTGCACAACTTCCATTTTAGCTGGGCGTGCTTCATGTTACAGATGGCACATGGGCTAAAAGTGCTTAGCCATGGGCTGTGCTCTGCAGGCACGCTGCTGCAGCAGGGTGGATTCGTCCTGCACTGCCAAAGCTGTTGCTTGACTCCTCTTCTGAGGAAGCAGTGGATTGTGTGGAGGTGTCCTGTGTGTGAGCTGGAGAGGCTTTGGCTCAGAACATGGCATCCTTGAATGTTGATGGTGTCCTTCCCACAGCTCCCTCCCTCTGCGAAGAGGTGTGTGCCTGCTTGGTTTCTGCAGGAAGTGATGCAGAGATCCCTCTGACAGGAGAGCAAAGTCATCAGGCCAGCTTATTGCACAACCAGTGGCAACAGGTGCTCTGGCTAGAGAGGCTGCCTTCTGCTTGCTTGGCAAGCTCTGCGCTTGGTGAGGAATGCCATTTCAATGAGACTAAATTGAGCTGTTATTCCCTCTTTGTCTTTGTTTTAAGTGAAATAATGAAACCAATGCATCACTGGAGTCCTACAGTCCAAAGTCGCAAATTTGGGAAAGCATTTCCTATAGCGTAAGTAGCAACATGAAGACTGTGTGGAAGAAGACTGCTTCCATTTGCCTGGTTATATGTAACTTGGACTGCTTCAGGACTGATTCTGCAGAATGTCAAGGAGCTAACAGCAAGTCTGTCACAAGGGCTGCAAAATCAAACCTTCACATCTACTGTATGGGCTCTTTGCTGCATGCGTGCAGTGTGCTTCCAGACATATTTTTAGTATCTTGATTAAAGGGAAGCTTAAGCTACTTGTGCTGAATATGACTGAAGTGTAGTTCCAGCAACTAATGGCACTAATATCTGCTGGCCAGATACTCTGAAAGTCTGCTGGTTAACTCCTGGGTGTCAAAACAAGGCCCTCTCAAATTGAGGAGTCTGTATATAAACTGCCAGGAAACATCATGATCTTTTATTGCTCTCTGGAGAGCACTTAAGCTGGTTTAATTAGACTACTTTGTAAAAAAAAAAATAATGGATGCTGGGTAGTGGCAGATGTAATTGCTACTGAAGTCTTGTTTATGGCTGTTTCTTGAATGACAGCAGGGAGGTGATTAGTAAGAGGAGAGGGTTTTTATAAGGTAGCTGACAATAAGCAGAACACTCTGTGACATGTAAACCCTTGTGGAAGGGCTCCTTGTGCCTTCTGGGAGCCCAGCGATGTGGAAGACCCCTGGATTGATTAATCTGACTTTGAGAATTAATATGGATTGTTATTTTGCTAGCAGTCGGATGTTGTGCACAGTTGCTTGCACTGGCAGATTGTTTTGTTAGAATGCAGAAGCAACATGGAGTCATCTAGAACTGATGCTAAAACTGCAGGTGATATAACTTTAAATGCAGCAGTTCAGGCAAATCACTAAGCAGCTTCAGTGGCTGAGGGCACTTCCTTCTACTGGGTGCCTGCAAGCATGAAGATGTGTTTCTCATTGGATGAGGCCTGATCAGAACCTTGTGTCAAGCTGAAGCCTGGGCGGCTGATGGTTGTTGCTAGATTGTATTTAAATGATCCAACTCTTGTGTTGTCTGTGGTGTTTTTTTTTAATCTCGAAGCAATAAGAAAAAACAAGTGCTGTAAATCTCTACCTGGATTGGTCACAGTAATTTTCTCTGCTGTCTCTTTTCTTGGGCTTCCTGATCAGGTGATTATCATAGTGTCCTAATTAGTAATGTGATATCTATTTTAGTCTTCTGGTCCTGAAGCTTAGAAATGTTAATCAATAGGATGACTGCTTGGAGGGCTTTGCTTGGTGTCTTGTTCTAATTTGGAGGTCAGACAGTTCTGGTGGTCAGTATCTTTACTGAACAGGGAGAAGTTTTTCTTGAATCCTCAAGAAACCCTGAGGATCCCAATAAAAGTCACTAAAGAGGCATAAGCCTAGAAGTAGAAGGCATCAGAGCAGTTGTAACAGTCGTTGTAATCATTGCAAACCAGAAGCCTCCAAGTTCTTTCTGAGAAAGGGAAATGAGAGGCGAAAGTAGGGGCACTGTGCTGGATTTGGATGAGTGATTCAGACTGCAGCCCAGCAAGCTATTTCCCCACTTTGCTGCTCCAGGAGTCATCATCCTCTGTACCTCTTTTGGGCATGTGCTGTGAGTAAGGAATAATTTCTTACTAGGTCTTGA